CAGCAGCTAGGCTTTGGACCTTGAGTTCACGTGATAGAGCCTGAAAGTAAAAGGTCAGGCAGCGAGCTTCCGGAGCCCTCGCGGTTATCCTATGCGGATTTTACATTGCGCCGTCCAGTATCACGTTTGATAATTTTGGAAGAATGATTCCTAACTGAAACCTCCCCATGAAACAATCATGTCGGAATTTTACCTTTGTCTTCCTCAAGTTTTATTTAGGAAATATCACAAAGAGATGCACGTTTGTTTACACTCCCCGTGCTTCCGTGAAAACAAGATTGTACAACGTTGCATAGATTTACCTACCTACAGTCGATGGGTTCCAGATTCCGTTGAGTTGACTTTACACAGTTGTTGTAAGCAAAGGTTAAATAAAAGATTGGAATCTTTCGTAATTGAAGTAGAATATTGCTTTAAGTTTATTACTTTAAATTACTTCTAAATTATAAAAGTATATAAAATATTTTGATCTGTTTTATTTCGACTTTTACCGACGGACAACCATATATATATTTCAAACCATAAATGTTGATCTGCGTACGAGACTGCCCCATTGCACTGCTCGTCATGTATTTAGATTTTTGGAAGTGATGGGTTGGTTTTTGGCAGGATATTTATATTTAGGTCAGGGGATTTTTCAGTTTCTATAAATTGATATACTGGCAAATATTTTCCAATACCCTATTTCCAAATTTGATTTTTTTAAAGAAGTAACTGAACAAAAAAATTACAAATTCTAAAACCTTTGCACGTTATTTTTCCTATCCAATGGTTTCAGAAGCGCGCCATCAGGGGTCACCTTTCAGGCTCTATTGTGTGTGAATGTGCGCGTCCGCAGTGGAACAAGTCCACTTTATAAATAGGGGTGTGCGATTTAAACTCCTTGAGAGTGAGTATATAACACACAAGTGTACATATATATCCTAATGGCCTTGGTCTGATTGTCCTGTTTCATTTTGTATTTTATATTTTTTCACAACAGTTTGAAAATATACCGCCAATAACTTGCACTTAGGTGTACACGCATTTACCTACACTGAAAATGTAGGTAAATGCGTGTACACCTAAGTCGGTAGCGTCCGACAAGACTGGCACGCCAACATGTCTTGGTCATACTATCGAGGCTAGAAATGCCACTTCTTTACACAATCATTACAGCTCGTTCTTATAGTTTTTCATCACAAAAATACCTGACAAGAATTACCAATACTTAGCCTTCTAACCATTATATAATAATACTTTTCTAACGAATCCTGAGAGGGCCAATTTGTCTGGCAAATACCGCGAAGAACACCCACGTTGTGGAACAACGGAAATCCGTCCACCGTAGGTTTTAATGCAGAATTCAACAGCTTCGCTGATGGAACCTTTTCCTTTATGGTCTTTTTGGCTATGGGAGATTTCGTCCACCTGGCATAAGGTTTATATCAAGAGATTCCTTAGGGTTTACTCCTTATTGTAGCGTGAGAACGAAGAGATTAGCTGAGTTGGCTATGGACTTGCGCATGTTCAAAGTCCAAAGAGTGCTCTAAATCGAGTAAAAAAGAGACTCGCACATTGAACTTCGCTGTGGTGTCTACGTTGACGAGACTCAATTTGGATATTAATAATATAAGCTTGGAATCATGTTAAACAACATGAACTAGTCTCTTATACGCTGAAAGAACGAAATTAATACACTGTAAAATAGTGCTGTTAAATGAGCAGTATTATACTGTATTATTGCAACATTGATCTACTTTAAACGAAGTTTACAGTAAACAAACGTGTTTGTTACACGTATTTACTGTGCTTTTGTGAATGCAGTATAATACTGTATATTTAACAGTAATGTTTTACAGTGTAAAGTTTGACCTCAATTTGCATACTGACATAAGTGGGACGTTGCTACTTTTGCCAAGTAGTTTTGTGGTTTTCCATTCTTTACGAGAGTATTTGACATTAGTCTGACAAATGTTTGTGTTTTTTGGATGTAGTTTTACACGGAAATGCGAACCATCGCCTAAACATATAAGTCGAACGTGAAAAATGAAAAATCTTACTTTTTCATGCTCCAACCATGATTGCCAGTGCACTTTAAAAATGGAAATAAAGTTCTGCTTTGATCAAGTCTTTTGAAGTATGTGTACGAGGTATGTGTATCATATACGTAATTATATTTGAAAGTTATACCTAAATACACATGTAGAATGAACCCATGATCAATGAAACGGTAGCTTGCTGTGTCGAATGTCGCGTCAAATTAATGTAATTAATTGAGATAAGATGAGTTACTGTTGTTTTTACAGTTGGTTACTGTCCAATAAATGACAGCTATTTATACCGTAAGAAAAATTACTGTAGATCATTAACAGTATTCTACTGGCGCCCGTGCTGCCAGTAAAGTACTGTGAGAATTTACAGGAAAATTTTTACAGTGTACCACGCACGGTTGAGAAGATGTGAATTAAAATTACTCTACAAGAGCCTAGTTATTCGTTCGTTTTCAGATTGTATTACACAGTGACTGTGGTTGTTCCCAGACGTGTTCCTTGTGTTGTGGCTACGAATTCAATTGTTTACCCATAATGAATTGCAGAGAATCTTGTTACTGTCTCCTTCGACTCGACTGAAGAAAATTTCACATCTCAAAGCACGTGTGTTTGCTGCACAAATTTCACCCCGCGCTGGTCAAAATGTCACTCTGGCATTACTTAAATAGGAAAATGCTTCCATTTTTCAGGAAAACTCTTCACTCTTCCTAAAACAGCCAAAAATTTCATATCAGTTGTGGAGTAGAAAAATAATTATAAACCATCAACTTATTCTTTCTCTCACCTCATCTCTAGGATGATAATCTCGTGATTGTGTCATTGTCACCACAACTAAGTTAGGAATGAGTCAAGAATGATTACAGTGGATGGGTTAATGTTCTTGGAAATTCTTTTGGTTTTCTTCGCTGCGATACTCAGATTAACCCTTTGTTTCCTGCCTACGGCACTGGGGTAAATGGGCTGCCTTTCATGTACTTACCAAATATGTATCGAACATAACAGAGGCACATGGCATTCCATTCCACATGATCGCCCACGAGGTCAGATTGGCTGCAGTGCAACAAGTGATTGTGAAGCTTCATAACTTTGATAGTTTTACATGACTGCCCTTAATCCAGATCTGAATAAAATTGGGTAGCGCCTTTGGCTTCATACATTTGCAAGATGGTTCGTCCACAGTTTACACCTCAACAGCGTGCATTCATTGTGAATGAATACCATGATCCTAGGCGTTTTCGAATGTTCGGTGTCCCTCGTGAGCAACGGTCGGCAAAATGTGAATAAGTACAAGGCAACAGGAACAAGTCATAACCTGAATAAGGAGGCGTCCGGTAGACAACGAAAAGGACGTTCTGCAGCTAACAGCGCGGCAGCTCGAAACATGCTTAACCAACAACAAGAAGCGGGCCGGAGAATCAGTGCTCGCAGGAATGGACTTGAGTTACCCTCAGCAACTTTCAATCGGATCACTCAGATGATAAGGCGCCATTAATTTTCGCCAGGTGATCCACCCCGACGACGACGTTTTTGTTAATGGTTGCTGCAACCACGTGACAACTTTTTTGGAAGACCTTGTAATTGGTGACGAGTCAGGATTTGCTCTGAACGGAATGGTAAATACTCACATCCGCGAGTACCAGCCACGTGGACAGCGCCCACTCGACTTTGACTACCAGCGAAGGGATGATCGCCACAAGTTGACCCTCTGGATGGTCTTGTTGGAAATGGTTCAATTGTTGGCCCGTATTTTTTGGCCAGAACATAGACGGTGAACATTATTTGCAAATGTTGAATGAACACGTTGTTCGTACTCTCGTGGAATGCCGCGTTTTCGTCTTCAGCGAAATGGTCGGTTGGCACGTGCTTGGTGGGCTCAAGATGGTGCACCCCCACATCGGAGGAGAACAGTAACGGGTCGGCTAACAGAGCTCTTTGGTGACCGAGTTATTGCTCTGAACCGCCAAGTGGAATGGCCCCCAAGGTCACCTGATTTAACGCCACTGGACTTTTTTTTGTGTGGGGACATTTCAAATCCAAACTGTATGTTATGCCACCACGTGACCTCCACGACACTGATCAGCGTATCAGAGCCGAAGTTAACAACCTGAGAAGAGATCGAGCAATGGTCAGGCAAGCTGTACACGATATGAGACACAGAGCGCAAGTTTGTATCAGACGAGATAGGGTCACGTTGAAGACTATAAAGTGGAACAGGGTAGATGACTTGCTCCTCGTAATATCCTCTTTAGGATGTGTTTGGGTTGTGATTACTTGGACACCATGGTGCCACTTTCCTACACATTCCCATCATACCCACTGTTCAAATGTATTTGGTAGGAAACAAAGGGTTAATCTGAGTATCACAGCGAAGAAAACCAAAACATCGTGCATTGCAACACAATTTAACACTCTCCATCCCATTTCGACCCTTTAATTTTTTGAAGGTAAAAAAAATTTGCGCCTTCAGCAAAGGGCCTGTGTTCAGTCATGCGTGCAGTTATGTAATAAATAATTGGTATGGACCGAAGCAGGACATCCATATCAACATAGGCACACAACCAAATTTCATGGAGATATTCAATTGTAAATTTGGTGGGTACTTGTTGGAGAGTCTACTTTTTTTGATACACCCTGTAGAGGAACCAGTGCTGCGGAATTTTCGTGAAGACAAATATGCTATACTTTGCAGTTACTCTGGAGTTAGCATTTCTTTTCTTCTTTTTTCTCCTCATAGTTTTCATAGTTGTAAATTCGTGTCACAGGTTATCTATTTTTGAACTTTTATACCAGGATTTTTAAGACCTTGTTTTTCTCCATTTTTAGGCATTTGCAGCGACACCCTTATTGATGCTGGAAACAGTTCCCATGCAATATTGTCGCCATTGTTTAATGAAGGTCTCTACCCTGATCTAACTGAGTGTGTATGGCGAGTCACGACGAAGCCACCAGCCAATATCCAGCTCAACGTTCACTCCTTCAGTTTGGAGGAGCATTTTGACTTTTTGTTTATCGGGATCGGCCACGACATCCAAGGCGAAAAGGTGGCTATCCTAACCGGGACAACTAAAATATCGACCATTTTGGTTCAGACCAACCACATTTGGCTACATTTGTCAACAGACTACATCATTGGTGATACAGGATTCAACATTACCGTAAAAGCAGCCGGTAAGAAATTTTTAAGTGGCTTCTGAAAACTTGGGGTCCTGTACAAAAGAACACTGGTACACTGGTGTGAGGTTACAGCCCGGGCATACAGACGATATGTCTTTGTGTTTGTTATTGAACAGTTATTGACTGCTGTGATATGAGATGTGATGTTTCAACACCCGAGGACTAATAGCACTCTCGGCGTCAGCAATTCCCATCAGGCCCGTCCCCAGGGTGTTAAAACAGCATTTCCCACATCATAGCAGTCGATAATTTTTGTAACACCTCTTCCTTGAATTCTCTGCAACATTTTCCTCACCTAAAGGTCTCAAGATGGCTACGATGAAAAGCCTCTATATACACGCATCATTTTCCTGCTCCTTTGATTATTCAGAGCACCACACGCGAACGCCCTCGCCTTAAAGGTTGCACGGAACTTTATCGAGCCTAAAAGTTTACCCCTGATGGCGCTCTTCCGGAACCCTTGAATAGTAAAAATAGCGTGCCAAAAATTTATGATTTGTAATATTTTTTCGTTTGGTTACTTCTTAAGAATCATTCCTCCTGATATTATTGATAAAATTACGTGATAGGGCGGCCCCATGTGAAGTCCTCTTAGGCGGACCGCGCGAGGGTTCCGGAAGCTAGCTGGGTGACGTTTTACTTTCGGGCTCTACACGGTGTCAACAAAAAAGTATACCTGGATAAAAAATACTGTAATGGCAAAAATGATTTATATATAGAAAGAGAAATATATCTCTAGAAAGGGCAAAATGTCCTGTGTGCAATGGTATTCCGCTTGTTATGGTATTGACACAGATGAGTGAACAAACTAGACCGATGTTAAGGGCACTGAAATCGGCTCTGTGACAAGTTTGCATATTTTATTAACAAGGTTCAACCATGCAGGTGTGCAGAATATCAACTTCAAATGACGATATGTACATGTCTAACGCAGTAAACGGACGAGCAAGCAGAACGGACAAAAAATGCACATAAAGGCGCCTTTCCATGTACACTTTTTTGCGTAGGGCCTACACGATGCATTTCACTTTTACGGACACAAAAATCGACGCCAATAACACAGCACACGTTTGCGTTAATAATAGGCAACGCTTGGCGCAAGTGTTGACGCGCATGTGGAAAGGCGTCATACAGCGTTAACGAAACGAGTGGCTCGGACTTAACTTTCGCTGGTTCCCGCCATTTGAGCTGGCACAAAGCATAAAGTATTTGCTGATATTTATACTAGTAGATGCTGAACAGTAAAAGAAACATCTTATTCCTACAAATTCAAGCGTTTGCATACTCTTAGTGCTTTTACTTCTCAGTAAATGCTTTTGCTGCTTGCTTGAACTTTGTATCATTATTTTGCTAGTTTTTATTCATACGACCCATCGTTACCGCTGATTGAAAATACTCCTGCAAATTACACTCAGTGTGTCCTGCTGTTTGACCTTCATCCCCTTTACTCCGGAGATAAATGTGTGTAGTGCGATATAAACGCGAATTTTTGTCATCAATTCATTATTAAAACCCATAGACAAGCACGCTGAGGATGAATGTTCTTCCTGCCACCTACATTCCTGTGCCACAGCATGCCTCCAGTCACCTGCCTACTGCGATGGCGTTGTAGATTGCACTGAAAAAGAGGACGAACAAAATTGCGGTAGGTAAAAAAAGTTAGACATTGCTCCACAAATTTCTCTTGTTCTCTGCCTAGGACCAAAATAATGCATTGCCGTCTATAGGCAAAAGAGAGAAAAACTCACTCTCTAAAAGAGTGAGTCTCTTATAAAGCTACTCCCAAAGATTGAAAACCACTCAAAAAGAGGAGCCATCAGCTTTTTTAGTTGTCCTTTATGGCTCCTCAGTAGAGTGAAAATTTAACTCCTCTTGAGTGGTTTTCAAAATTTTTAGATTGGTTTGTACTCCTTTTCTGGGGATTTTTTTTACTCTGTTGGAATGGTTTTATAGAGGACTTGCTGTTTTGAGTGTGAGTTTTTTAACTCTTGCCTTTAATGACTGTGGCTCCTTGACAGAGTGGACATTTCTTTCTTCTTGAGTGGTTTCATGAGGAAGTCACTCTTTTTTAGAGTGATTTCTTCACCCTTTTGCATTTAGAGAGTGCAGGCTGATGTTTAACGTACCATTTACATAATATGTACTGGATAATTCTCCAAACAGGTTCTTAGCAGTCGCCTGGCCTGATAGTTCTTGGATTAATACAGAGACAGTAGTACGCGAGTTATTTGCGTTAAATTCCCTGTAGACCGTTTACGTACATTTCATTCGTATGAGCTGCAGAAAACTTCAACATATCACCCTTAAGTAGTCTTCCATTTTTGTTTTGACGAGCAGCCATAGTTTTACAAACCACTTGTCGGCCAAAATAAGACTATGACGTAAAAAGAGCAGACCCTGCCACAAATGTTACACAGAATTCTTTGGCAGCAAAGGTCCACAATGCGACTGCTTTGTACCTGAGCAAGAAGCACGATTTTGTGTCCTTTTAAAGGAACTTTCCAGAGCACACCATCAAATGAATTTGAAAATTATTCCAAGACATATCAGAAAATTTTATATCATAGGACTCAGTAAAGGCCGTAATTACTGCCAACCAAAGATATGATTTCTTCTTCCTCAGTGAATGTAACTTGCGGAGCGAACCAATTCCTGTGTCCGCGGACGAAGCAATGCGTGCCGCATGAGATGTTATGCGATGGAAAGGCAGACTGTATTCAGTTTGGTGATGATGAAGATAACTGTGGTAATGCCAAACAAATTGATCATTGTTATTCTCGATGAAATTCATGCATAAAAAGAAAACGACAGAGGCCATTAGTAAAGTTATCTTGTACTTGAATGTCTGCATGTTCTGTCAAAAAGGCCATACGCTTAACTATTCAGGATGTCAACGAGAACGAGTGTGATTGTTCGTCAGCTTTTAAGGTAATAACAAGAATCAGGTAGCAATGAATAATGGAACACTCCATGGACCTCATTCCGTGTGTCTTGTTGAGACCAGCTTTATTCGGTATTTTAAGGCCAAAAGTTTGAAATGTAGCATTTTGACTTCTGAAATATGAACCTGCAAACGGGTAATAGATGACATCATAAAGTCACTGCACTTTGACCAATTTCCTCTGAGTCTAATATTGTGTCCACACCCCCCCCCCTTTCCTTTCAGATATCCATGGTCGCCCAGATGGTTGTGAAAGCTTCATGGTGAAAGAAATACTTGGTGTGAAGTGCAAACAGGGCTGGAATACTACCACCATCCATCAACTAGTTAAGAGGACTTATTCTCTGTAAATGCACTATATTCTTAAAGCCGTATTCCATCTACGCCTTTGGGCAGTCGGTCAAGTGACTTGGTGGGGTTCGGGAGACACGTATCCCCCGAGGGATTGTCCTGCTCCTGGATCCCCCTCCCCTGTTTGACATTTTAGAATATACACAAACTGTGGACAGGCCACAGCTCGTTTGATTTCGGTGTCTCTGAAAAAAAAAGGTGTGCGCCCCCTTTTGCCCCTGGAAGTTGCACCACTGAGTCCGTATATTTTAATACAGCATACCGACAGTTGACAGAAATGAACTACGCTTGTACATTGTAATAACAATCTGAACACCGAAGCGTTTACGTAGGAAGGTTCATAGCAAAACTTGGTCAACTTGGCCACAAGGTTATGTGGCACATGCCGTGGAAAAAAGACGCATCACCGATCACCTAGCAAACAAGAGGGTATAACAAACCAATTTATTAAGACCCGCCTATTGCACACGTGATCTCTGCCAATGCCACATTGCTAGGCTGCGTGTTCCAGCCGCGCGTATCATACGCATGTGCACACTTGTCGGACTTTGTGCACACGTCTAACATAAATCGCCACTGTGATTGGTCAGAAAACAATGGGTGCGTCTTACCACTGGCGTGGGAAAAAGACACATCTTGAATGCAATGCCATAAACATTTGCACACGTTGGGCTCGCCGTTTCCAATGCTATGACCCACACGCCTCACAGTGACTTAGGTCTAGTGTTGTGGGGAAATTAATTCAAAATTGTTTGCAAATCCTTGTTTTAAATTACAAAAATCACGTTCGTTTGGTCATTGTTGACCTTTTTAATGGCGGAATTTCTGACAAATAATAGTGAGATACATATAAAAAGGAAGTTTTATCTTGTACCTTGAATTATTATTGGTGTGGTTTGAAGATTGTGCCTTTGGTGCGCCAAATGTTTTAAAAGGGTAGAGTACATCGCAAGAGAAGGTATTAATAATTTAACAAACACTCTGGAAAGTTGGCTCGAGGTACGCTTAGTATATACATGTATATAAATGGCAAACTAATGCGTAGTTGTATACTCCTATTCATTACACCTAAGAGCACTTTTCCATAAATGCATTTCTGTCTGTTCCATGGAGTTTTTCCAGTCCTGTGTAATTTCAGGAGGCACATTAAAGTACACGTACGCACATGGACGCGAGCACTAAAAGCTTGTCTGTCGACTAGTGCACTAATTCACACTGCAAGTTTACCATTGTACGTGTATAAACAGAATCATGTTAAGCCTATCCCCTTGCCAGCTGTTGCCACGATTCAAGTCATGCCCGTCGAAGAACTCATAATATTGGAAAAGAAGACATTAATAACCTTTCCTGCCTTTTTTTGTGTTGGCAGAGAGCTGTCTGGCGCGAACGTGGGCACCCTAGGGGAAGGACTGTTTAGAAGACTCATCCTGCTACGCTCGCTGTGAGCTCAGACGATCGACTTCAAGGATAGAGTTTGAATGTTAACGCCTTGTGACGTGCTTACGGAACCCCATAATAGGGAAAATGAAGTCCTCAGTTTTAGAACTGAAAGTTATTCGTTAGTTGAAAAACATCCCGGAAAGGGGGCATTTGTAAAATATTTACCAGCATATCAATTCATAGAAACTGAAAAAAACAAAATTTCACATCCAAAAATCTTAAATAACGTGACGACTAGTGTAACTAGGTGTACCCGTGCGCAGAAGTTACAGAATTATTTCATGGTATTCTTTATATTTTTTTTGTAAATGTATATTCATTTTGTAAATTAAAACAGAAGACCAATGAGCTCAGCAGTTTACAGATTTTTTATAAAAATCAACTTAAACAAATATTCTGCTTTCACGAAAAAGTCTCAAATCTAATCTGATCTGTGCTGACAAGAACTGGGTCAGGCCAACCTGACTGGATCTAAAACCCATCGATTGTGTGGCGGTAAATATCCAGAACGTAAATAACATCTCGTTCTCACTTTTATTCACAAAGTGAAAACAGCGTCCACAAAAAAGACCTCGGAATGGCAATGCCAGAAAAAAGATCGTTACTTAATGACATTTTTGTTCAACCATCTCCAGGTGACTTTTTCACAATATTAATTTGAAGAATGCAAAGAGACAGTTCTAACATGAGTGTTTCTTTGGATAGTTTCAGTTTGTACAAAAAAATCATAGAACATGACATCGCGGCTCAATTTAGAATCCCTGTTGGTGCGGCGCGAGGGTTTCGGAAGCTCGCCGGTTGACCTTTTACTTTTAGCCTCTACATGCCCTATACGCCAAATTTACTTTTATGAAAATACGCTTTGTAATATGCTATGTCATGTGAAGTGCCTGATTGTACCCATCAGATTTGTAGATACCTTTGTGTGTTTGGGTTTGGCACTAAATGCCATGATACATTTCCATATAATCAGATCGTTACTGAGCCAGTAGCAGCGATCTGAACTTCACTCTTATTAAGTCTTCAAAAGTTTACCTGGGTTGTGTGGTCCGAGTGAAAACAATTGGCACGGTGATCCAACTTCAAGCAAAGAGTGTGATGTCTAAATTGAGAGTCAACGGAGGGCTGAACTGGCGGATAATAATTTTATTGGGGCCGTGTATAACAACATGGGCTGACTAAGTAATACGAAGCATGTTTTAAGTCCCTGTCTTCTGCGCGCAGAAACCCCTACGACAGCACCGTGCTTGTTCATGAGGTGCCTATGATTTCTTGCAGGTCTTTACGAAATAACAACATATCGCAGATCAAGCTCGGTGCGTTTAGTGGATTGGGGAACCTTACAGCTCTGTAAGTTATATTATTTTTTACAATACTTAATTTTTAAGATGCACCGTTAATTTTTAAAAATCAGACAGGAACCACCTGTGGAGATATACTCTCCCCGACAAAGCTCACTACCGAAGACTTTAGTGGAAGTACCGGTTAAACTGATGCATGAAAATTAATCTTTTACCTGGTTTATTATTTTCATTGGTATTTTTCTCTTCTTCCAGAGATCTGTCAGAGAACAATATCGAGGAGATGCATGGGGGAATCTTCAGCGAACTAAAAACGCTTCTAGCATTGTAAGTACTACCTCAGTCAGTGCTTGGAGATTTGCATGTGAAATATTTTTCTTTCATTAGGGAATAATTCTCTGAAAGGGCAGCTGCAATCAATTTGCCTTAATACAAACCTTCAAAATGCACCATTCAACTTTTGTTTCATTTTCCATCGAGCAATTTACTGCCTTCTTGGTTTTTATGCTAATGAGTATTATATATATTACATAATTTATATACATGTATATAAGTTGTGATGTCATCTCAGGAAGATAGCCTGGACATTACTTTGGTTTGTACACAAAAAGTTTTGCATATTTGTATATTTTTCTGGGCTAAGATTGTTCTTTGCTAATGCATTGTTTATGTTCACTGCAATAAGCAAGCATCAATCCCTTTCTCAGAAATGTTTTCAGTAAAGTGGATTCTAGGTTAACAATATGAACAGAAAAACCTGTGCTCTGAACTAAGTTTTCCCTAGATGACATCACAGCAACAGTGTCAGTTGTCCAGGAAAGCTTGAATACTTTTAAAAGCTTCCAAGAGTGCACTTTCATTGCATTTAAGGGAATAGGAATATCAAAGAGTTTTCATTGAAGAAAAGTACAAAGTTGCAGAAAGATTGTTTCTATAAGGACAGTTCATTGCAATCGCACCTTAAGATGCGCTCGCTTGCCTCGAAAGGATTCTGACACGACTAATGTCCTGATGTCTTTTGTTTGTCTCTAGGCAGGCAAAATACATGTACTTAAAGCAGGTTGTACTTCAACGACCAATAACTTGCCATATTATCGGTTACGGTTTTTTAACCGGGGGTAATGCAACTCTTTGGGCAGCAGACACGCCCTGCAGGGCTTCCCAAGTCTTATGCGTGTCTAGATGTGTCATTTTTTTTTAAAGATTTGCTCTTTTCAAATTCCTCAGGGCAATAAGATCAGTGCCAGTTCAGTACGTCAGAGCGAATGCATTTGCCGGCTTGACACATCTCCAGAAACTGTACGTACTTCTTCAAAGAACACATTTCCTGCGATCACACTTCTCATTCAACAATGCTACTCGACTTACAGACAATGAAAGATAAATGGATCCATGGGTCTCCATTGTCGCAAGTGCCGTGACTAATGGGAGTAGAGGAGATCCCCCCTCCCCGTGCCCCGTTTGAAATCTTAAAATGAAAAAACCGTTATACCAACCCACAGTTCATTTACCCATAGTGCCCCATTGAAAAGTTTGCACCCTGGGTGACTCAGCAATTCACCCCATTTCAATCCCGCAACTGCCACTGCCTACTCGTTTTTACTCGTGTATTTGTCATAAAAAACGGCTTCAGAATTTATTTGGGTGTCTTTTTGGTCAGTCTTTTGTTCAATGTGTCTTGATCTTTGTCCACTTCTGCAGTGTGCTCATGCGCGGAAATGGTACAGTCAGTGCTTTATCGTCTTCTCAGTACGATTGGCCAATTGAATTTGAAGACCAAGCTTTGGAGGACTTAACTTCATTACACACAGTGTGGGTATCACTTCGAATTCTTGTTAAAATATAATTCTAGAAAATGAAAAAATCGAACAGGACTCTATTAAAGCAATGTCTAGCATCAACTTCAAAGTTTATTTTCAATTCTTTTTAATCGCATAGTTATGTTGACGACCACCGCCTCTGCTGCGACTTCAGGTCTGTACTGCCAAGTGACGACCAGTGCATCAGTATTCGGTTCCAGTCACCGCTATTCAACTGCGGCCGGCTGATGCCGAAGACCGTGCTTCAGGTTTTCATGTGGATCCTAGGCTGTAGCGCCCTCCTTGGCAACATGTTGGTCATTGTCTGGCGGATGCGAGAGGACAGTGGTAAGGGCAGCAAATACGTGCACTCGTTTCTGGTCCTAAACCTGGCTATGTCTGATTTCCTGATGGGAGTGTACATGGTGATCATTGCTACTGTCGACGCCATCGAGAAAGAAAAGTACTACCTGACAGCCACGCAGTGGAGGAACAGCGCCCTTTGTAAGGCAGCAGGGGTCATCTCTGTCCTTTCCTCAGAAGCTTCGGTTTTCTTCATCACTTTGATCAGTGTAGATCGCTACCTGTGCATCGTGCATCCGTTTAGCCGAGTCCGGCTTCAGGAGACGTCTGTCTGGGTGTCTGTAGCCTCCATTTGGCTCGCGTCCCTGGTAGTAAGCCTGGTTCCAACCATCTTGGCAACCAGTGATTCGGATATCTACGGGCTATCAGATGTCTGCATTGGGCTGCCGTTGCTCACTCGCCCCGTCGATTACACTTTCACTAAGGATGATGTTGGAGGATCGTTGGGCAATGATACCTACCTCATCCCACAACCCGTTGGTAGTAGACCTACTTGGTCCTATTCAATAGTGCTATTTCTTGGTGTTAATTTCATGTGTTTCCTGGTCATCACTGTCTCCTACATTGCCATCTTTGCCAAGGTCAAAAGGTCAGTCCGACGAGTCAAGCTGCGCTCACACAAGGCGGAAGAGATCAAGATGGCGTCCAAGATGGCAGTCATTGTAGGTTCAGACTGTCTGTGCTGGATGCCCGTCATCGTTCTTGGGATCCTGTCCCAGACCAGCGTTATTCAAATCAAGCCTGAGGCCTACGCTTGGCTGGTGGTGTTCGTTCTGCCCATCAACTCCTCACTGAACCCCTACCTGTACACCATCGTCACGGCCATCAGCCAAAGGCGCCAGGCACATCAATCAACTAAGAAAAGATCCAAGGGTCCAGAAAAAACCTGCAGTCCCGACCTCCCAATGGAAATGAGAGGAGACTCAGGCTGTTGGACCATCACCACGCCCAATGCCACGCCCACTAACTCCATCTATCACGGACACCCTGACTAATTGGTATTTGCAGCAGCGATCCTTGGTGGAGGGTCTCGAGCATACGTACTTACCACCTCTGTCTCGACTACATTTTAGGGTCATTTGATTATACAGACCATTCTTTAGATTCCATTCTTAACATGCACGTACACCGTCCAAAGTTTCTCCAAATGTCTTTGTGAAATAATTCAGTCTTTGACATCTTATTCTCTGTGGAATTCGAAGTTTATTTTCTGTTGTTATTTACCCTATCGTGCATAATACTGATGACAGTTATTTTGACTGCATGTGGAACGTTCATAAATTTCGTAGGCGTAATTTCTGGTAAAGGTTTAATGTACCGTGCGAGATGCATGGTTTCCGAGCGAAAATAGGCTGGGGCGATAATTCTGATTTTCTTTTCCAGCAAAAATAATTGGGGCCACCTGTGCCGTTTGCTCGTGGTTAAAAAAAACGATTTGAAAGGTCCAACGTGGCACCGCTTAGTAATGATCCAAAGTGTCCAGATATTATATTTTTGGAGCGTTTAACAATGATTCGAACCATTTTTCGTGTGTTGATCAGCCGATGCATTGACTCCTGAAACATAACACGTCCGCGATAAAGCTAATAGTCTCGAACATTGCTAACAATCATACTTGCTTGTGCTATTTTCTGTTTTAAGATGTACAAAGTTAACTGAAAAATTAACGTCGTATACCCAGCTGGACTGTATTTAGACTACTGTTGATTCTGAACTTTATTTTTCAACATGTGCATGTCTGCTTAAATAAAAAAAAAACTCTTCATCCTTAAATATATTTTGAATAATGATTATTCTGAATGAAATCTATTCGTTTCAATTAATTCGTTAATATATTCTCAAAGTGTAAATACGTCGCATGTCAACGTCAGATTAGTTGTAGAATTTTAGAATCATGCTTGCTAGCTTAATACCTCCAATATACTGCTTCGAGCAAATCATGAATTGAATGCCGTCCATTTACCTCTTACTGGAAAAACTAAGGGTACAGGCGTTGATTGCATCGACCTTGTCTGTGAAAATTGGAGAAATTGGGCCTGTCTGAACCCCCTAACAGCCAGAAGCGGAATCTGATCCATTAAAATCATTGGCAGTTGATAAGGTGATGAGGTAGTCTCCGGAACAGAATTATCGAATGGTTAGCCTTAAAGTGAAGACTCACATAATTTGGACTGTAAGAAAGACTAATGCAAGTCTGCATGACAGACTGGCCATTGTGACCTTTAGATCTGTCTTTACAAGTGTTGATTATATGCAATGCATCTTAGTGAAACAATGGATAATGCCGTCTAGGAAACTTGATGTAACTTTGATTTCCTCTGTAAAAAGTGCGGTGAGAAAAATAAACTGAAAACTTGCAGAATCCGATCATATCTATATGATGAAATGGTCATTATTTTTCTTATATTTTATGCATATAGTTAAAACCTGCAGTACTCACGTATGTTTCAGAGGGAAATTATTAACTGCGCATGTCCCATTTTCAGGGATACATACGTAATGGGGGGCATGAGAATTCGTGCCTTGCAAGCAGCTCCTTCATTTCATGAAATTTTCGTCTTATTTTCACTTTTTGGAATTAAAAATAACTGCCCAAAAATATTTTCTTGTTAAAGATAAAGCCTTCTCGTAACGTATTTTGTGAAAAAAAATTCGAGAAAATAGTACCAGAGTGGCGGGTCAAAACTAGTGATTTTTGTGTAAAGCTCTTTTCGTGAGCGGTAGTTTGCGTTTTAATTTGGAACCATTTTGGAAGGTGCACTCAGCCAGTTAGGAACTTAGCACACCCATAAAAATGAAAAGAAAACGGGACTTACTGCGCATACGTTCGGGTGCAAGCCAGGGTCGCTCGCCAGTGTTCGGATATTGCCTGGAAATCCGAGCATGCTGAATAAATAAGACCGTTACATTAGAACGGCGTACGTGGGCGTACGTACGAAAGCGTACATAGGGACTGGAACGTCTGGGTGCAGGCCGGTAAACTTGAACAAACTGCTATAGCCAACAGTGATAAATACCTAAACTTCAAATAATCAGGAAAATACTCGTAAGTTTCTCAGGCGTTCGAGACGCACATCAAATTAAAGCCGTTTTTTATGATTTTTTTTTTGTTTTATTTTCGAATTTCCATTCATTAACTGATGACTTTTGAAGATTTTTTTCCACAAAAGTTCACCCCTCAGTCGTGAAGTCCCTCACTATTTTGAAATATCGATGCCTATTCACTTCTTGAAAAAATAGACCGTTTTCGGGCAAATCTCACTCAGACACAAGCTGGTTTTGTCTTTTCTGTAAATGTTCATGGGCCACAAAATGTTCACGAATTTCGTGGAGAATTTGAGTGCATTACAAATTGTGATTTGGACGGCTGAGTTTTCGGTCTCTGTGCCTGCACACCACAGACATAAATAACCCGAGGGTCAACAGAGGATGAACAAAGATAGATGTTATTCACCTGCAAGAGTACTGCAATTAACAAAAATTTAAAAAATCAGTATCCAAACAATAGGGCTAACTTCGCACATGATAAACTGCAGCTACGTACAGGTAGGCCTACGCGTAGTCACTGGTCCCTATTATCATAGGGACGGGCATCAGTCCACACCCCTCTTAAGAAGTTAGCGCCCTCCCGCGGCATAATTGCGATCGGCGTATCACCAACGATTGCTAGCGATGTCATTTGTAAGAATAATAAAACCGGTAGGTAGTGCAGGGGTTACCATCCTTTTTCCTTTAATTTTGCATATAAAATTTGGCATTTAGTGTTTTTCCCCATCCTAAACGTCCCTGGAACGTGAACAGTGTGTGCATATAAGTTAATTTTTTGCGTTGTCATTTGCCAGAGGAGTAATTAAGTCTGCCGCCAGGCAGTTGTCATGCCATGGACTGGTTTACTTCCAAAACTCTGTAGACCTAGCCCATGTAGGCTCCGCCTCGCTCCCACGAACCCCATAGAAACTGAGCCTTTTATACCATACATAGACTTCAGTTTCAGTGTATAGTCAAATATTACAGGATTAACAGTGGCTATTACATGTAGCTAGGAATAGGATACAGGAGTTCAACAGTTAGCCTAGGCCCACGTACCTGGCCGGGGATAACTGAACGACAACGGTACCATCCGAACATGCTGAATATAGAGGGGACGACTTCGGAATATTTCAGCTATTTCTGGAAAACTGAAGGAATTACTCCAGTCTTGGCCACATGGACATTGGGTGATATACAAACCCTTTATTTGGAGAGTAGTCAGAATCATCGAGTCTGGTACCCAGACTGATGTACAAGTAGGCTACATGGACTTAGGCATGTCCGGAGTAGGCCTAGTGCAGTGCCGGACAGTTCTGGAAGCAGGACTTGGTTCATAGCGGATAAAGTTCCATATACGGACAGCATTTTCCTCAAAATGTTGTAACAGCCATCAGAAAATGATAACATGTCCAGAAAAGTGAATTTTAGCCAAGAAAATTCCAAAGAATTTAATAATTTCTTAAAATCAACAGTGACACTTGGGTTCTTTTCAGACAAGTCTCACACTAGTCTGAGGTTGGTGCACAAGGACATCAAGTGTTGTCCGTATCGCTGTGGACAGATGCAACTTAGCTGTATGCCTTCATCCGAGAACTTTGACAACCTAATGTTGTGATTGATTGCACCACGAACTGATAAAAAGTCACAAAGCTCTCAGTCACAGAGGGTCTTTCAATATGGAACTCTTTCCTCTAATGTCTGTGACCATATAGTGGCCAGGGCCCTCATTTCGTCACTTACATGTATTGTCAAAATCACACTTGACAATAGGAGGCAAACATGGAGACCTGGGAACTATACGGTCACAGGCGTTAAATGTACAATGTATATGTACCTGTACACGCAGACACATGTGTACACTGTTAAATCTACAGTTGGGTCAAAAAGTTTAGGTACACTCGGTAGAAAAACAGTTTTCCTTAATTTTTTGCCGTTTGAAATAGTTTCCCCTACTTTTTCTCTATGAGGTCAGACAAATTGTATCTCAACTTAACCCTAACACTCCTCAGTCCTCCAACAGGTGAAGGATTGAGGAGGGTTAGGGTTAATGTTCATAGTGCGTACATGTACATTGTATTTCAATTGAAGATACTTAGAGATACAGTACTTATTGTGGTTCAAAATATTAATATTTCTGAAAAATCATTTTCTGAAAATTTATCCCTTTATTGTTCAAAAACACTTCAGAAAGTAGTCCACTATGACTATGAGATGTGACCAAAAATACAGAAATTGGCACTAAATATTAGGGTTGGAGTACATGTTGTAAAACTTTGATTTTTTTTATTAATATAAAATGAATCATGTATAAATATGTGTCTCTGAGTATTTTTATTTGACGCATACACCATGTACATTAAGTAGAGACCCATCTTGTATGTCAGGATTGAGTGAGGTTGTGAAATTTGAGGGAAACTGTTTTTGTTCTTCCAGATGTATGTCAACTTTTGGCCCCAACTCTATGTCCTTCGGGCAAAAGTGTGAAACAATGTTAGTAAAAAACTGCCATGGCAAGATGAACTGGTACCCTGGATTTAAGCCACTAGACGTCATCCAACCTGAACCACTCAAAGGCCATTTTAGGCCTACATGTACTAGTACATGCAGTCATGTAATTTTTAAGATAGGCCATCCAGGCGATTTCATGCAGTTAAATTTCTGAAGATTCTGAAGAATAAATCAACCTTCCGAGTGATTTCATGGTTTAAATATGTGGTCAGTTTCAATGTATTTCCCCTCGCCCACCAAAACAAAAATGGAATCATCTTTTCATTCTCTTAATTTGAATCCTACCTTAAATATGAGGTACATGTAATTCCTTTTTTCACAATTCATAGCTGCTAGGGAGGAAAATAACGTGTCAATTGCATGAGGTCTGAATTGCATCAGCATGACAACTTCCCAATAGAAATATAACGTTAGGCCAAAGCATAGAACCAATCACAAATTTGTCACGGTCCCTCAAATACATGCACTGCGCATGTTTTCTACTTGCCGTGCCTGTTCAAAAACAAATCTATTAAGGACTACATGTAGTTCATGGTCTGGTGCCCAATGCCTCTTTGTTCAATGCAAATTTAGTGACACTAAAACGCATGTACTCATGCACATCACAAGGGGAACAGTAGCCTTCGCTCCATGGTGGTTTACTGTGCAAGTACCCTAGCTTGCATGTATTCATTTTTCCTTCTAGAAGGGTGTAAAACCCCGCCAATATAGTTTCACCCCTCAGAAAGGCCATAAAAGGTTACTTGAAACATAACCAAATTTTAGCTCCCAAAAACAAGGCCCCCCCGATACTTTGGTCCTCGAGTCTACACCTTTCCTTAGTTCTAGAGTATTTTACCAATATAATGACGCTGTTAACAGTTAACACAAACAAAACAAATACATGTAACTCCACCACCAGAATGTTTGTCTAAACAGGGTCCAAAGTTGGAAATTTACAGCAACGCTACTCTTAGCAAGATACGGGTACCAACGCAGCCTAGACGGATCAGAGGATGGGATCTCCTCACGGCATGCCTCAGGTACACCTGAGGAGATCACGCAGTTCACTCTGCCTGGTCTCGACACTGTGCCTGCTGCTTATCCTAATGTGGCTGAGGTGTCGGTTTTCCTCCGTCAACTCTGATTGGTCATTTAGACCCTTTGGTGGAGTGGACGGCAAAACAGACAATAAGAACTTGACACTGGTGATTTTGCCGTCTGGGTTGGCGAATATCCAAGGAGCGTATTGTTTGGATGGGAGCCCGCCGTCTTACTACATTCGGAGAGGTGAGATTGATGGATTGTGGGCACAGACTTGGCTGTCCCCTGAATGTTAGGAGTTGACAATGACTATCTCAGTAGATACAGGCAGTGTGGGGGTTCATAGTTGGGTCTTGTACAGCAATGCTCCTGTGTTTGCGGAATGTCTAGTTCACGCTTCACAGCTTACCCTAGTTTTGTTTGGTTTTGTTACCAATAAACTCTTTGTTTCTTTAANATAACAAATACATGTAACTCCACCACCAGAATGTTTGTCTAAACAGGGTCCAAAGTTGGAAATTTACAGCAACGCTACTCTTAGCAAGATACGAGTACCAACGCAGCCTAGACGGATCAGAGGATGGGATCTCCTCACGGCATGCCTCAGGTACACCTGAGGAGATCACGCAGTTCACTCTCCCTGGTCTCGACACTGTGCCTGCTGCTTATCCTAATGTGGCTGAGGTGTCGGTTTTCCTCGGTCAACTCTGATTGGTCATTTAGACCCTTTGGTGGAGTGGACGGCAAAACAGACAATAAGAACTTGACACTGGTGATTTTGCCATCAGGATTGGCGGCCATCCAAGGAGCGTATTGTTTGGATGGGAGCCCGCCGTCTTACTACATTCGGAGAGGTGAGATTGATGGATTGTGGGCACAGACTTGGCTGTCCCCTGAATGTTAGGAGTTGACAATGACTATCTCAGTAGATACAGGCAGTGTGGGGGTCCTTAGTTGGGTCTTGTACAGCGATGCTCAATGCTCCTGTGTTTGTGGAATGTCTAGTTCACACTTCACAGCTTACCCTAGTTTGGTTTGGTTTTGTTACCAATAAACTCTTCGTTTTTTAAAGGAGCATGTAGCACAGAGCTTTTATGTAGGTGTCCATACCCTGAAAGGCACATGGGTATTTCCAGAAATTGGGGGTCCATTTCTTAAGTGTTCCTGTCACATCTGACATGATTTTGTAAGTTCAGAGCACATTTTCTAATTTCCAAGAGTAATGAATTAATGCAAATTACCAGCCACACAAATAGTAATAGTTTGAAATTCTGGTAATATTTCCATGTCAAATAACAAAGGTCAGATGTAACAGGAACTCAAAAATGTGACACTTTTTGACCCGTAATTTCTGGAATCACCCACATAGACAGGTTACTCTGTGGTAGTATATACAACTTTTATACTTATTATTATCGTAATCAGGAAATGAATGGTCATGAAGTGAGGTAACTATGCTAATCTTGATGGATGTCTCTCACAGCGCAAAGTGCCGCTAGCCAGGGGTCCTGGCTCGTCATTCTGCAGGGAGGTGGTTGGTGCTGGAATGTCTCAGACTGCTACAAGCGCAGCTTAAGCGGCTTAGGCTCGTCATACCGACTGCCGAAAGAGATGCCATTTGGTGGGATAATGTCGCCTAATGCCACAGTCAACCCAGAATTCCACGACTGGAACATGGTGATGATCAACTACTGCGACGGTGCATCATTTTCAGGTACAGTGAATAGGCAGTTTTTGCTTGAATACAAATGCAGTTTGTTCTTTGGGCCAACCCTAGTTCACAAAGGGAAGGATGACCATGTTCATGTTTTGGGAAGTTTCATCTCAGGATAGGAACATTCAACTGTTCTTGTGCATGCTTGCCGACTGTTCAGTGTACATGTATGTACATACACATACATGTAAGTGCGTCTTCACCAGTGACAGAGAACCTTGGCCAACAAGTGAACACCATTACACTATCATTTAGCTTACCCAACACCATCAGGAAGATACCGGAGATTTTGTGCAGATTTGGATGAAAACTTGTCATGCCTACTACGTACTGTGTGCATCTTCGTATAGTGTTTGCACACACTTTGTCCCCTGGAGGGTTGAGTGGAGAGTTGAGCAGTGGCCTCCTACATACAGCCCCCCCAACGCTTCACCTAACTCCTCCCACCTACGTACACTATCCATATTACTAATAAGCCTTGTTGAAGATAAGCCATGCTTCCAAATTTTTTTTTTTTTTAAATGTGCGAACATTTATTAATCAATCTTCATTCCTTTAGACTCTACATGTACATGTAGATACATGTACATGTAAGTACAGTAACGCCTCTATAACAAAGTTGTTTGGACGTGACAAATTACCTTGTTAGAACAGGGACCTTGTGTAATCGGTAATGGAAAACAAAGAATACATACATTTAAAGACTTGGGGAACTAGAATTTGACTTTTTGTAAGATGTTTTATTGATAAAGTCTCTTGTTATCTGTGTTTGACTGCACCTTGGTTTTCCAAAAAGGTTCCTTCTTGTTTGTAGCGATTTTTACAGCTTTTCTCAATTGTTCCAGAAAACTAACGCCTCTAGTTTAAACAATCTCCAACTGTAGCCCTCCAAAGCATTCTGATATGAATTTGAGGTCATGCAGTATAATTTCTCTCATTTACACTTGATCCCAGGCAACTTGGAGAAATCAGTCAGGTATAACAACACCAGCATCTACTTCCGAGGTCACCGTGTGCTGAAATTGGTCTTGGTCAACTTGTTGCAGATGACAAGCTTAGGGGAAGCTGACCAGATCATTCTGGGTGGTGTGTCTGGTGAGTGACATCCCTTCCCTCCCCAAGAGTAGTTCTAGAGTACTCCAAAATGTAACACTGGTATGAGATAAATAGGAGTAGTCAAGATCTTAGGATCTTTACACTAGTAATATGAAATATTTTGCCTCAATGCAAACCTGAAGTAGTTAGACTTCTCTGGCTCTCATTAATGAGATTCAGAAATTGATGAGAATGGAGTGATTGCCTACTGAGTGCATTGGAGGCATACATGCATGTACATAGGGACTTATGAGTGAGGGAACTCTTTGTAGACACTCAGTGAGTTGCGATAGTCAAGACCATCACAAGACCAGATGCCAGACTACCACATATAACCGTTGGATGGTGAGCACTGACAAGGGTATGCTTTTGTCTGGAACTCAGACTGGATGTCTTGTCTGTCTTGTGATTCATATGGAGTCTGAGCTACAACACCGGACACTCGCACAAATGTCCCAGAAGCCAATTTCATAAAGCTGCTTTAGCACAAAATTTGCTTAAGTGAAAAAACCTTGCTTTAATAAGATGACCAGCAAAGCTCTTTGTGATGTTGACTGATATTTAGCATGACAGTCACATAGAATTTGGGCCAGTAGCCTTACTTTATTAACTTTTTACAAGGTTTTTCAAGCTTAAGCAAAGTTTGTGCTTAAGCAGCTCTATGAAATTGGCCCTTGGGTAATGAAATGTGTATTCCTTTCCAATCCCCTACATATGTATCTCTGATTCATTGTGGGCCTGTAATTTGGTTCATGCGCTAAGCAGTAATTTAACAGCAACCAGTTGGAAATAATCACAGAACTTTTTAACAAGTAGTTTCTTGTTCAGGGCTCCCACACAGTCATGAAAAATCCCGAACATTCCTGAAAAAGTTGTCCTTGGAAGTCATTTAACCGTAACCCTCCTCAATCCTCCAAAATCCTTCAGATGGTTTTGGAGGATTGAGGGTGAATGGCAAATTAAAGTGCCTGGCTTATTGCAAAGGATGCCACGCATGCCGGTCATGGGTTAGACCTTGAGTTGTTTTTGCTTTGTCAGGTTTAAATTCGATACTTCTTTTGAATCAACCGCACTGCTCAAGAACGCAATTTGTATTGCCTCAACATAATGACAGGAATTGCTGGAGGATTTTGAAGGATTGAGGCAGTAGGCACACCTCCAAGTAACATTTTAAAGAAATTTTGGAGGATTTCGGGGGATTGAGGGAGAATCCAATTCTTTCAACCCCCTTCCCCCATTGGAGGATTTGGGAGGATTGAGGAGGCCAGCCTAGGGGGGTAAGAGTTAAAAGACATGGATAATTGGGAAATATACATGTAGGCTGTCCTGGAATCCTTTTTAAAGAGGAAAAAAGTCACGGAAATTCAAGATCATGCAAGGGTTATTTTTTATTGGCTGTTTTTGATATGTTAAGAGAAAAATAAGAAATTTTTCTCGTTGTTATTTTCAGTATGAAGTAGTGGCTATGGTCACCTTCTGGTCCATAATACGAATAACCTTTAATTTTCTCCTTCAAATGACTTTAAATATCATGGAAATTGTCATATTTCAATCCTGGAAAGTTCTTGAGAAGTTCTGGAATTGGGTTTTAGATTTCTGTAGGAAACCTGCTTGTTGCTGAGCCATTTTTTTCTGTGCTTTGTTCATTTGTTGTTCAGCAGTGCTGTTGACCATTTGTTGGCATAGGATTTAGAGTGACTTCTGGGATTACCTCTGATCAAAACACTACACAGGCTGCACATTAAAACATGAAATAATGTCTCTACCTGCAGTGTTACTATAATTAGATCCACATGCATTTGGGGCTGATGAAGTCTCAACTTTTGCCTCAATCCATTCCTTGATGAACCTACCCCTTCCTTTGCTGTTTCCACATGAATTTAGCCATTTCTGTAATGGATGACTTTAAAAGTACCCTTAATAGACATGAAACATGATGTTGTCATGCTTTCCTGTGGGGTCAGTTGGATCATGTCCCATCTCATTGCCATTGGAAAATGAAGTAAAGAAAGTGTGATATTATGTCATACATGTAGGTCTTTTTCTTCGGAAGTATGTACAAGTTTACACAAGTCTCAGTGTAAACCACAAATTATTCATAGTGAAATGTAACATTTTTTTAAACTCTGTGTTTATAAATACATCATGGGGGGGGGTTGAATGTTGTTTTTACAATGTAGCTCCCCAGCTATTGGAAACTAACAACTAATTTCTGAGATGAAACCAAGGAAACTACCTGTAGGTTGTCCCACTTTCAATACCACTGAGCACTAAAATTCCCCCCCCCACCTAAAAATATCCACCCAAAATGTTGTATTTGTTTTAACACACCTCAGAAATATTTCTTTGCCATTGTACATGTGCATGTGGTGCTGTTTATTCATGTGCAATGTGCATATTGTATAGCCCAGGCTATGCTCATGCATGTTCGGATGTACAGCATATCAATAGCAGTCTTAACTTGCCCCTTTTTATCTTTCACCACTCAGCTGGTGGTTTGGCCATGTATCTTCATGTGGATTTCATCCGTAGCTTCATCCCTTCTCATATTCCTCTGCGAGGTATTGTGGATGCTGGCTTCTTCTTGAATGAGAGGAACATCTCTGGCTTTGAGCACTACCGCATCCACATGGAGAAGATTTTCAACATGCAGAATGCATCAGGTTAGTGTACCATTTAGCATGTTTGGCGTCCTCGTTCCAAAATGTGGGACTGGAAACCTGCAACCGTTTAACCATGCGATACAAGACTGTTAAGTGGCACACTGGAAACTGCCACTTTCAGCACCACTCCTCTGCTCCAATCGTAGAGTACATCAAAGAGAGATCTGGTACCTGCTGGTTGTTCTTTTTTTACCCATTTTTATGTCCTCAGTCACACCAACAGTCCAATGGTTACAGTCACACCAACAGTCCAATGGTTAGTGTTTCAAATGGACATTGGTCTGGCTAGTTTTATGCTTTAAGTTTGAACTACATTACCTCCCTGTCTGCCTGAAAGGTTCAAAATTGATCAAAGACCTCAAAGTGGTCCAGCAGTCAGGGCCTGGTAACGAGTCAAGGTTTTCAAACTGGAAAAGTTTCAGACCAGTTGTTTATGTCCCCTGCTCAGTACCCACCGATAGTCCTTACCCCCAGTCTTTTTTCTTGGGGTGCTATGTTCTTGGCAAGTAGTTGTAGCCATATTATTTGGCACTTTAATGTCCCGTAGTTGTGAGGAATGGTGGTGCAGAAAGTTTTCTTGGTCCTGAAAAATAATGCCCACGCCAAAAATATTTTTTTTAAACCAAACAGGAAGTGTAAACAAGGCCTGCTTGGAAGACAAAAGTACAGCCAATAAATGGAAGTGCTTCTTTGCTGAGTATGTCTATCCTTATATCAGCACCACTCCCCTCTTCATTGTGAACTCCGCCTACGATTACTGGCAGCAATGGTTTATACTGGACCTACGGTGTCACCCGATCCAGTGCCCTGACAAGTTGAAGTACCTTACCAGGCATCACACCATCTTCGTTCATGAGATCAAGCAGGTTTATCACCACCAGGGTGACGGCATGTTTGTCAGCTCTTGCTATGCGCACAGCCAAGTGTTCCACGACGACACATGGTCGACGTACAGAGTGGGCGGCAAGACGACAAGAGAAGCATTTGGGGACTGGTACTTTGAACGCACGCCACCAGCCCAGTCAAGGTATATGGATTGCAGCATGGACTATAATTGCAATCCATCATGTAAAAGGAGCTGGACATTACCCTTCTATAAGAACGTGACGGATCATTTGAAGGAGTCCACACCTGACTTCTAAGTGGCAAAAAATATTTGAAGTTGCAATAATGCTTACTGAAATAGTTTGGTGCAGATCCTTCGATAAATTGTGCCAATAATGACTTTTGGCCTGATTCTAAGGGCCTTAGGAGTCATCTCAAATCTCGTCAAGGATAAGTTGTGGAAAAATTGTGGGCAGAGTGACAGGTTGTGGGGGAATCTATGAGCTGGCCATTTACTGTGAAGGCCTGTTTACATTACCAAAGGGCTTGGAATAGGTGATCAGTAAGTAGTTTGCAGTTTCCAGAGACTGACCTTGGATCACTCTGTTGTTGTGTTCAGTGTTAAAAGACTGAATAAGATGGTTGGTTGGAAATAAAATTCTACACACTGAATTTNNCTGGTTGGTTGGAAATAAAATTCTACACACTGAATTTGCTTCACTCACTCGTTACATTTACAAGTTACCTCCATGATTATATCCATTCAGTTCTAAATTCAATTCTGGAAGCCATTGGTATTTCAAAATTGCAAGGTTTCAAAGTTTGCTTTATCACCAGATTAAATGCAAATAAAGCTAGATTTGCCTAAAAGTAAAACCATAGCTTTCCAGCCGCAGAAAAAACATAAAGCTTCTTTATTCCAACTTTAAAAAAGCCCCGAGTAAGGAGTGAGCGATTAAATGTGCAGTCCTTTACCTGTGGCTCTTCTGTGACCAAAACCACGTGGCCCTGAGTTGCGTGCCTGGCCCAAGCCCCAAATGGGGGGGGGGATCTGTATACAAATACTGATAAATTCATTCCAGGAAGATTGCGGGCAAGTTTTTTAGGAACCTTCGACATTCCACCGCAACGCTCTTCCACAGTTTGTCTTCAATTTTCCCCGGACAAGTACTTCAGACAACAACTTGTTCATGTCATGTTCTTTATATTCCTCTGAATAGACAATTTTATACGAGAGCTTTTATACAGGGATACCAGACTTCTGGCAATTGCTTGTATTTTGACTTTTTTATATTTTGATGAAAAAACCTCAGGCCTTTTGTGGGCCAGATTGACAATAGTGCACATGGAAAAAACTTACAGCATACAGCACTTTTCTGTTACCACACATGAACATGTATATGCAGCGATATATACAATGTATATATGAGTCAGAGTCCTCTGAAATCTTGAAATCCTCTGAAATCTTGAAATCCAGTCTGTGAGAAGCGTATTTAGTTGGTTCCCACACATCTTTAGATGGTCAAGAGTAGGGAACCAATCATGTCCATGCATCAAAGTAGTTTTGCAAGCTTGTGTATGGAGCATGCCCCCAGTACATGGTGATTGTTTCACGTGTCACAGCCGGACTCTGCATCAAGATTTTACTTTTAAATGTTTCAAAGTGGAAGTTGGAAAGTGTGCAAATGTAGAACTAATGATTGAAAATAAGTTCCACTGACACTGGCCAGCAATTGGAAGAAAGCATGCTGTACCA